TATATATATATATATATATATATAATTATACTGGGAAGCAGAATTTTGGCAACCGCAAATGTACCTGTTCTTCCATCATTGATCCAGAGATGGATCCAATTGCCCAGCACAAAGTATTCAAGTTGTTCCATGTCCAGTCTTCGCCATTTAGCTGTTTACTTAATTTCTTCAACATCTGAGGTCATGAAGAAATTAATTTGCCACATTTCAAATTAAATCAGCCTATAAAGTCAATTTTCACAGTTACAATACAGACAAAGTGAAAGTAATATCAATTCATTTCTTCAAATCTAGGGTAAATTCCATTGAAGCAATTCAACAGTCAAGTCTGAATAGCCAACCCATCACAAATCTAATTTTCAAACTAAGAAAGAAAATAAATTCAACAGATTATGGGAAGGAAGAAAATAAAAATTGCTTAGAGTAGGAAGTGTCCTTGGAAATATTTCCTAAACGTGTATCATGATGATGAAGAAGCAGTGAGCTAACCAAAACTTAAAATGATGATTGCAGAAGCCAAACATTCCTTGCAAAGAAAAATTGTCCAAACACTGACAAGAATAAAGAATGTCTTTCTATGAATGGTTCTGTCATTACGGCACCTAAGAGCAGTTTAGTCTTTATTAGAGTAAGGGAAATTTAGTCATTTTTCATATATTATTGTTTAGTATAAATAAAGCTAACTTGGGAGAGATCGCTAACCTCTCAAAACGTAGGTGATTATATTTTATATATATGAGTGTGTTGTTTAGGGGTACTTGTAATAAAATATTTTATTTACCCTAATATATGCCAAGAACCATATCAAATGGTATCACAAAACCTCTACTCATCACCATACTCTGCGGCCAATTTGAACTAAAACCTGACGACGAAGTGAGGCATATAGGTGGTCGGAATGCGGCATACTTTGTGACCTAGGGATCATGACGTACAGGGGGACAGTATCACGACATACAAGTGAACTAACATCGTAAAACTAAAGGATTGCGGCATATCAGATTATAGGAACGCGGCATGCAGTTAACCTCCCAATTTCGATTAAAGCTAGTTGGGAAGTCGGAAACAGGATCTCGATTCATTAATGCAAGTCGAAGATGAATCATGAAAAAATCACAATTACGGCTAGTTATTAGTTAGGAAGCAAAACAACGGACCATGGCATACAGTACCCAATCTTGTGATATAGTCACGATAAAGCCAGGAAGCAACGACGGCTTACAATCTCATGGCACAGACAAAATACAAACTACTTGGAAAACAATCAATAACATTTCAACATACAAGCCTTCCTCCTTAGTGATCAAAACCTGGCCTAAGAGAAATGGCGACCAAGAGAGTAGATGATTTGAAGAAAAAATTGGGGGAAGGAATGTTGACCTCATTTTGAGGTCATTATTCTTTCTCTTAGAATCCTAGGATCTAGCTCTAGTGGCTCTTATTGACTATCTTAAAAAACTAGTACTGGAATCCATTCCCTTAGAAATTTCAGACACTTCATATTTCTCTTGTGATGTCTCACATTGATGATCTCAAAATCATTGTTGTATGGTCAAGTGGTTAAGGACTATCATGTGGAGACTCAATGAGAAGATCTCAATAGAATCTCAAGCCCTATGAAAACCTCTTCAGGACTCCATTATCACGCACGCACACAAAACGCACAAAATTCACTAAGTTGCACAAGATCAGACTATAATTGAGCTTGAAGAATTGGTGAAAATGTGAAATTCTCTAGACGACCTCCGACGACGAAACGGACCACGCCAACGCGTCTGGAACGTCAGAATCACCTAAAAAGGACATCCACTTTGTTATGTTGCGACGCACGAATAAAATATACAAATTAAATTTTTATTTTTGAAATATTAAAAACTTTTATATTTATATTATTACTTATAATATTAAAATTATAATCCTAAACCCTATTTACCCCCTTATTCACGCATTTATCTCTTCATTCGACCCATCCCGCGGCTCGATCCCACGGCGCTCGTCTCGCTCCCTAGTTCCCGTGACTCATCCACGCGGCGATCTCCCCCCTCCTCTCGACTCTTCTCCTTCTTCGCGTGGCCGCTCGGCCTTTCGGCTCTCCAATCGCAGGGGATAGGCTGGCCGACCCTTCTTCTCAAGGCTTTAATTTCTCCTTCTTTATTGTGATGATTTCATCCCAGTTGTTCTATTCAACCACGAAATCGTGGTAGGTGGTTCTACCCCTCTTATTTCTACTTATAAAAGGGGTTCTTAGGGTACTTTCTTGGGTTGTTGAAAATTTTGAGAGGAAAAGAAAGGATTTGGGGCTTTTTTTTTTCGTTGATCATGGCATTTGCCTCTGAAATTTATTGAGGCTTTCGGGAGCTCTTTTACATCAAAGATCTTCAAGGAGGTTTTTGATGATTTTTATTTCCTAGGCTGGTTCTTGAGTTTATTATTGAGTATACATCAAGAGGTAATCACATCAAGAGGTAATCTTCTTTTTCCTCCTTTTTACAAACATTCAAAGAAGACATCTGTTTTACCCTATTCTCATGTCTTGGGTTTAATAGATTCGTAATTGATAAAGATATGTTTAGGAGATTTTGTTCTGATGATTTCTTGCCTAGCGACATAAGTAGCCTTTCTAATCTGTGGAATTGCCCATGAATGCATTCTCTAATGTACCTAGAATTGGGAAATTTCGGTCACTTTAGGCATTCATTGAGTTTAATGTTAGGGATGAGAATGGTTATAGAATTTGGGAGCTGGAACAGATGAGTGAAATGCATAAATTAAAACATACATTTTCTGAAAAAATGTGAAGGATGCTAGGAAAGCTTGCACAAAGGTATTATTTGAGAAAAGAAAAGGTTAAATTTATTCTCAGTTTGGGGCTTAGTTTTGGCTCTCTATGGCTATCTTCTTTGTTCAAATTGCATGTTGGGTGGAAATTTAATTTTTCAAATTTTCTTATCCTCTCATTTACTTATTTAAAATATATGCTGATGGAATAATTGTTGTTGCCCTTATTTGAGAAGCATGCTGGAAGGAATCTTTATGCTGGAGAATTATTTTTTTAGTTGTCATATTTCCTGTTATTTCCTTATTCGAATCACATGTTGAATTAAATGATGATTTGGGACTTGATTCTTGAGCTCTACTATTGTTACCCTTGTTCAAATACATGTTGGGACTTGTTTCAACAATTTGAGATGTTGGCCTTGGGGCTTACGTGTATTTTTTTCTGTTTTCTGCCCCCTGTTCTAAGTTCGATTTTGCTTTGAAATGCCTGGGTTTTGACCTTGTGCTAGGCTCGGTTTTGCTCCTGTCCTGGGCTTGGTTTTGCCTTGAAATGGTTTTTTTTTGCTCCTTTCCTGGGCTCGGTTTGGCCTGAGATTTAGGCCCGGTTTTGCCTTGAAATGGTTCTGTTTTTGCCCCTTTCCTGGGCTCGGTTTGGCTTGAGATTTGGGTCCGGTTTTACCTTGAAATGGTTTTGTTGTTGCCCCTTTCCTGGGCTTGGTTTGGCCTAAGATTTGGGCTCGAATTTGCCTTGAAATGGTTCAATTTTTGCCCCTTGTGCTGGGCCTGCTTTTGTCTCGTGGCGGTTGGGTTTTAGTTACCTATTGGGTTAGGCCTTACTTTTGGGTTGGCCCTGTGTTGAACATATTTGAGGCATGGTTTTTGTTGTTTCTTTGATGCCTTCTACAATTGGAATACATAAACAGTTGAAGTTTGGTTTCTAGAACTTGCTTTGAATCATATTTTGCTCTTTGCTCCTTACCGTTGTTGCCCCTCTTTTTGAAACGTGTGTTGGAAGAAATATCGTCTCTTTGAGAGCTTTTAAAATTTATTTCGGGAAGGTTTACTTTCGTTCATGTTTTCTTCAATGGGAAAATGAGATTTTTGAAGCTTTTTGGGCTTGCTTTGTGGCCCTGTGTTGCCTTTCTTGGCTTTGAAGCTTTCGTTTCATAGCTTTCCTGTTGGGGTGGGGGATTTATATTCTAAATGGTTGGCAATTTCCCTTTAAATATTCTTGGCCATGAGCCCTCTCCCATGGTTCCTTTTGTGTTGATTCGTTGGTGGCTCTGCTTCTATGGCTACCCTCACCCGTAAACTGGTAAATGTTGTTCTGGAATGGTGGTTTCTCTGGCTGCTTTTACCCGAGAGCATCTAATTGGGATTCCCCTTATACTGGGCTCGATTTGGCTTAAAGATAGGCTCAGTTTTGTTAAAAGTATATTATGTTCTTGTCCCACTTTGCTGGGCTCGGGTGTGTCTGTTGTGGTTTCCTGTCTTGCCTTTCTTGTTGGGGTCGATTTACCTTTTACGGCTCCCTGTTTTGTCCTTTTTTTTTTTGGGTTCGCCTTGCTTAAGTTGTCACTTTGTTTGCTGCTTTTGTTAGGCTTGGCTGGGTTGGAGCTCCTCCAAATAACATACCTCCTGGGATTGTTATTAATAATCAAGTTTGTCATCCCAAAATTTAAGATTTCAATATCTACTTCTATATAGGAGTGTTTGATATAAATGGATCAATTTGCTAGTATGTCTCGTTTGATATAAAATGACTTCAATCTCGATAGTTTATGGGAGCTTGTCCATTCACTCTCTTAGGTATATCAAAGAAGTACAATGGCAATATATGTGGTGGCTTCTCCTAAGTATAATGACAATATATGTGGTGGCTTCTCATTTACTACTCCTACTCGAGAATACCTGCTGGTTGGTTGTGTGAGCTGCTGCCCTTACCTGAGAGCATACTAATTGGTTTCCTTTTGTCATGTTTGGTTGTTCTCTGCTGCCCCTACCCAGGTCGTGAGTCTTCACCTGTAGCTCTTTTATGTTGAATATGGTTGGTTTGGGGCTTGGCTTTATCCTCGTTGCCCGTGAGACTTACTGTTGTGGTTCCTTGATTTGTGTCATGGTTGGTTCGGGCCTCGCTTTCTCCTTGCTGCCCCTACCCGTGAGATTTTGTCCTATTTTCTGTCCTAAACCGTGGCCTTATATTGGAGCTTGATTGTGTATTTTCTGGCTTCTACCTGTGGACTTGTTATGAGGATCGGTTGTCCCTTTTCCTGGCCTTACCCGTGAGCCCCTATCTTCTTTCCTATCTCTACCCATGAGCCTAGTCTCTACCCATGAGCCTGTTGAGGATTATTCAGGCTCATTTTGCCTTGGCCGTGAGCACTTCTATATTTTCTA